AACGCTATGCCTAAATGTGCGAGGCAGTCAGCTGGAAAACAAAAATGATGTAACGTAGTTCTCTCTTTGAAAAACAACGAGTTCTGTCTGGAATAAAACGAAAAAACGGTCCAAAAATAAAAAAAAAGCTCCAAAAAAACGTTCGAATATCTTAAGAAAATTGGCTCTGAAACGTACATTTCTATAGGTTCCGCTATGTTAGTTTTATAAAATTTGTCCAGCCCTTTCGGCTGATTAGAAAAGGGAAAAAACCACATTCCTCCACACTATCGAATGCCCTCTACAACGTGGTCCTAATGTCTGCCTTGGGCTGAACAAAAAATACTTGATCAGCGAAGTGTCGCGTTACGTGGACAAGCTGTACAGTTTAATTAATACTATTATTTTTAAAACATATTATTATTATATGCGTCATTCTCTCAACGGAACAGTTTTCAGATTAGCTTTAGAAGTTTAAACATTCATATTGACAGCTACATATCAAGTTTCCATTAAGGTTTGATAAAAAGTATAGTACTCCTATGACTATTATTATTTGCCGCTACCTTTGTAAAGCTGAATTTCCAAATAAATCTATATTTAGTTCAAGGATCGCGAGATACTTATTTGTTTGAACACTTAAAACGCGGATGACATCTGCTCAACTGTCAATACTTAGATTTAGGTTTATGATTTTTAGATTTACAACTTCCGAGACCTGAACCATATTTTCTGATCATATAGACGAAACAACATATATTACATGGTTTTCCGTGATCTTTTTCATGCTTTTGGCATAAAAAGATTTTGTTATTTGTAATTTATTTTCGTAACCGAGACCTTTTGCATGTTGTTTTTCGAAATTTTGTCAGTCAGAATTAAAAGCATGTTTTTTCATTGTCATTTCTCATTTTTATGCTTGTTCAACAGTTCACAAAATATTCTCCATATTAATACAGCAGGATGAACTTTTTTGTGCTCTCTCCTCCTCTCCCCCCCTTCCCAGACACACACTAATAAAAGATCATGATAATACATGTTCTTGGCAGTAGATAGGCCCTTTGGTGGACTAATTATACTGGAACGATAAGCCTTCTTGGACCGAGTTATAGGCAACATATAACAACCCGAGCAGAATAAAAATTGTTTTTCCGATTTCCGGGACTTTTTGCAAAACTTATACAACTTTTGACCGGAATGACACCCCACCAAACACTGGTTGGTAGCCTTCCGAGCTAAGTTGTCCTAGCTAATGTCAAAGTTTGCACAAGAAATGGAAGCGTTGGGCTAAGCAGCTCATGCGTGAAAAGATTGTCTTACTGGTGCAATAGTTTGTGAGGCACTCGATCTCCAGTAACACTGCTCGAGATTCCTGGCTAAGTAACAGGAAGAGACAGCAGAGACGATCCCGGGCTGTTAGGGTAGCGAGCTCACACCAAAAAGCAAAAAAACTAGAGCCGTACTTACCCACGCTTGAATGTAAAGATAATGAAAAAGTTTCGTATGTATTGAAACAAAAGTTGAATAACAGGGGTATATATACATATATACAGTCTAACAGTAGGAAAGAGAATTGGCTGACTCAGAGAAAAGAATGACTAACAGTCGTGTATATATAGAGAGGCTAACTCTAGTGTATAATGAAGTTAGCGGGTGACTATGGCGATAATTGTCTCTAAGACAGCTCTTAGTCACATAAACATGCAATGCATACAGAGGGCAATCGATCACATTTCCTTTATGTGACACATCAATCATCCACTTTTTGACTTCCAGCTATGTGAGTGTTACTCATTGATTCTAGACGATCGGGACTCGAACCATTCTAGTATATGTCCTATGAAACAAGGTCTTCGATATCCACTCAAGTCAGTTTTGACGAGGTACCGTTGAAACAACGTTCTATACAAAGCAGTTTTTTTAAGATATATATTTGTTAGTATGATTTTGCATGGACAATTGTCCACTTAAATTACCCATTCGAAAGCAAAATTTATGACATAGGTACATTAAACCCATTGCGGATATTTTCCATAATAGTTTGCGCTTGATAATGGGCATCCATTACCACCTAGTATTCCCCACCAAGTTGGAAAAGCAACATTTCGATACTTGAAAATAAAAAACATAAAAAACAGACTGATTTGTATTCCGATATCCATTGCAATTGAAAATAACAGTGCGTATCGTTCCCACCACCATCTTCTTATCACCGTGTGAAACAGAAAACCAATTATTAACCATGATGGAAAAGTGGCAACTGGTACATATATTAATGATAATAATGTTCCTAACATCAATGGTATATGGACATATCGTAACCATTGAACATTCGGAAAGATTTTTTGTAAGAACCAAAATACAAGGGGAAGTAGACCCCCAATAAGAATGACCCACAACATAGGAGAATAAATTGAGTGTCGACCGAATAAACCTGATGGATCTTGAAAGTCCGAAAAAGAAACGAAAAATACAAGACTGTTCCTCAGATAGAAAACTTCGTGATTTTTCGTGTGTACACGTGTACAGTGTTAGAGTCTGAATTTTTCATAACGCGGGTCAGAATAGGAAAAATGGTTTACCTTGCACAGCTGTATTCATAAGCCGTTTCTTACACCTAGGCTTCTTTAACTTAAACGACGCCTTTTTATACATTCTTTAGTTCGGTCATAGAGCACTCAATCGATATTTGTTTTGTAAGGGGTTTCTGACACATTGGACAAAAGGAATATCTGAATCTGATTTGTGTAAGCACTTTTGGTTTTGTAAAGTACTATTTTCCCGTTTGTTAAAGGCCGTTTTGTATTCAAAAATAGAATGGAAATGAATGACCTGTAGAGTTTCTACAAGATTTGAACTTACCATGTTACGTTTAGAAGACACACGCTTTGATTAACTTATCTGAAGCATTTACAAGAAAATAATATTCATTTTTCGACCTTGTTACATCAATGCATCGGTTTTGAAAAGGCATTTCAAAATTTGAACGAAATTGTGTATAATCATGAGTCAATATTCCATCAAAAGATAGAGCTCCTCAAGGACTATCAAATGATACACTGTGTATTATTTGATAGCTCCATATAGTTTGCATAACATTCGTTTTACTACGATTTGTGTCACATACAACTCCGCATTCACACCCCAACTTGTTTTTGATTTTTCTCAAATCACTTTTTTCTCGGATGGTTCCAAGTTGGCTGCTTAAGGTCCTGTGACAAACAATCTCGGTAGAGCAGCGTAGAGAAAGCTATGATGTGAAATTCCTCTGAACTGTAAATTTGGAATTTGTATTAATCATCTTAACCATCGACAGCAAAAGATCGTCCAAGGGCTCTAAGACCAGTATCAGGTATTTAAAACTATCGTTAGGAATAGTAAGACATTAGGAGCATTCAGCGTGAGGGACGGAGTGGAATAAAAAAAAGTCAAAACACTGAGCCTGTTACTATAAACTTGCTCTTCTCCTTACTTCCGAAATTATTGAGACGATTTCCACAAAAAATTATTAGTTTATATTGGAACGCGAATGGGAAACACATAGAGAGTTTCAACGTCTTAAGCTTTAATATATGCAGGAATATTATCTATACGATGTGGTGGTAAAGCTCGACAATTTGAATGAGCGGGAATGAATAAATATTTTAAAAAAGCGACTACTAACCTATTTTACCAAAAGCAATTGCATATGTGGTGCTTATGTTGGGACATTCCCATGGGTTATTTGGATCTACATATGTGCATATACCAACAATAGTTGTAAGGAGATAATGAGCCATTCCATACCTAATAGTCGCAGATAAAATCGTAATAATCAGTTGTGTACTAAACATGGCTCTTGGAGATATTTTCATATAATGTCCAAATTTCAGATTAATCAATAGATTAAGTGCTTGATTTTGTATTGCCCATGAATAAGTCGAAAATGTTGAATTCCAAATTGGATTTTTACCGTGCAGAAAAACACCACCAAATACATAAAGCATGTAATTCATGTTAAATTGCATGTTTGTTTGTGCTGTAACAATACCCGATGGTAATAAACAGACAAATGCCAACGATGCACATAAAAATTGATAGTACCATGGCATCAAGTTACCATAATGACAAACAAAACACGCACATATAAATGCACATAAGAAAAGTAGAGCATAGGCCCATTCGGGTGCTTCCGGATATTTCGATATTAATGTACAATGAATGTCATTTTGACGTTTTTTTAATGATGTATGCGATTGTTTTAGAATATCTTTACCATTAAATAATATTGTATGAACAACTAAGGCTGCTAGTGATGCAAAAAGTAAATAATAACCCATACACGATGCAACAGTTAATCGAATTGGTGTACGTGGATTTAAAATGTCCAAATAATTTCCATCTGCTAGAAAAAATTGATCACTTTTAATCGGTAAAAGTTTAAAATTAAATGTATTTGTGTAATATAAAATTGGCATAATTAACCAACCGACTAGAATAAAACCAACGAGAATGTTTAAGTGTGCCCATCGAGGGGTTAAAATTGGAGATCCAATTAATTGTGTTATGGTACGCCAATCAAATTGAAATGTACCGAAACCAAATCCACCGTTACCAGTTACTTGAGATAGAAGTATATTTTTTGGATTAATCATACATATCCATGAAAATGCAGCCAAAACAGGCATTATATAACCGGGTAGCCAATAATAAACGGCTGAACATATACAGACAATAGTAAAGAATTTTAATCGACTCATATTTAACCATTTCGTACTTAATAATGTGTCTCTTTCATGCAGTGTACGTAAAAAGGCAATATAGGGTAAAGTAGATGGCATAATCATTTCGGATGGCCACACTAAAAATCGACGCATTACACCTTAAAACAAACATAAAAAAGAAATTCAGTGTTGAGTCCCTCTACAATAATTCATCAACGAGTGAGAAGATTTAGAAAATTTAAGAGATAGAGACGGGTGAACGTTCAATTTTTCCATAGTTTTGAGAAGACGCTGCTATGTTTAAGCTAGCAGTTTCCTGTCTGCTGTACAGACATGGTCATGTACCCCTTCAGCTTTAGAACCATGCGAGCTAACGTATGGTTTATATGTTTGAACATTTTTAAACCGCATTTACAATATATTATAGGTAGATTTAAATCGTTCAATGTAATAAACTATCTGGCTTACGGACGACACCTTTAATCTAATCGCTTTTCTGTGTGAAAGAGATGAATCAAGACTACTACTGAATGCATTTCCGATGCACTTTTTTTCGTAATACCGCCGGTTACTGACCGGTCCATAGACTATCCCTGGTTAACCATATTGTTCGGTATAATGGCCGGTTTTTTCTTCTACCGGCGGTTACCGCACGGTATTTTTCATACCGCTGTACAAGAAAAAATCGTTGGTAAACCGTTTTGACACAATCACCTTTTTGTTTTGCAGTCGGCAGTCTATATAAGAAACGCAGAAATGTCAAAAAACTTTGATTTTCTTTTTCAGATTATAGAGACTCGTCGAAGTTTGCACTTCGACTTGAGCCAAATTTTTCCCGTTCGGGTACCTCATTGCGCTGCCTGTGCACTGCAAAAGAAACAAAAAAGAAAGCTGAGAACTAGATTCGAACTCCTGTGCTCTTTGCTCACACTGATAAAATACCAGTGGATACCGCACTGTTAGTAGACCGTGCGGTAATCTCAGTTCCGCTGATGGTATAGCGGGGAATATACTCGACGGTAACCTAGCCGGTAATCGGCGGTATTTGAACGGTATTGAAGACATGGGTTCCTTTGTTCCTTCAGAATATTGATAATATTTTTAGTCAGAGTGTATTCTAAAAAATAGTTAATCGATTTCTTTACCTGCCATACCATAGCCCATAATTTGTACTGATAAGTCAAGAAACAACCCAATAACAAACCTAGTTTGTTTATTGGAGTAAACTTTTTCATTAGCAACTATATCAATGGCATAATATTTTTGTGCAGCTGTTAATGCCATTATAAGTATGACTGCATGTTCTTTAATTGTAAATTTTCCAGGATTTAATAAAATATTTGTCCCAATAATTTTTGTTTTCTTGGGTAAACACCGTTCTAAACATTTACCAATTGGATAGGCTAATAATAAGACTAAAGATGCTGAAAATGAATAAGTTTTTGTTCGATATTCAAAATATTGATTTACAGTAGATATTAATATAGCAAATAGAATACCGATTGTCCATGAACGCAATGTTAAACATAACATGTTTAAATCATCTTTATTTGATACAATTCCAGCTATTTCTTCATATGAATGTTGTTCAGCATTAATATACTCAACAACGGGACGAAATGATTTAAAAACGTTGTAGTCTTTACTCACGGGTGATTCCGATGATTTATTTTGGTTTTGTATAACAAATAGTTCCATTTCTACGTCTCTTTTCTTCGAAGACGACATTATCTCTAAAATTAAGAGCAAATTTGTATATAGCTAACACATTTTCCGATAATATTGAATTCGAATAGTCGCAGAAACGAAAAGACTTTGGCTGCTTAGAAACAATATGTAAAAGTGGGAAGGATTTGCTTAAAACTTCACTCTCCACTTGTAAACTTGTAAACCGATGTAACGTACGAACGAGATTAAAAATCAAACCTTCTTCTCTTTCACATGATTGAAAGCGCTAGAAAACACATTTAAATGATAATTTTTTAAAGTTGGGCTGTCTTTGCATGAGAACATTTTCAGTTCGAAGGAAAGTGTAACAATACAACAAATTATAAAGCAAATATAATGGCAAAATCAATGGTATAAATTGCTTTAAAAACTAATATGCCATTCAGTTAATATTTTCTTTTTTTAAATGATTCTTTTTCATCAACAATTATTCTTCTACTCCTTTTTCTAGTAACATCATTATTCCTTGATGAAGTTGTCAAAACATTTTTTCGATACAATCTACTAAAGTTCATATTTTAGTTGTCTAAAAATATATTTTATCTCTAAATGAATACGTATTGCAGGTAGATAACAAAATAATAGTTGTGATTACTTTTTATTTCACACCTGTCGAGATGATAACCCAGTTCGCAGTACTTATAAATGAGAAAACAGCGGTGAACATCGAATTTCGGCTAAAAAAATTAAGTGTTTCTTTTTGTTGTTTTAAATAATCAGCTACGAACGAAAATTGTCTTAGTACTTTTTCTGTGCTGGGGAAAAACATGTTCAAATTTCACAAAATATCTCATGACTTACCGTCCAGTAAGAATTTGTAAAAAATATTTCTCTGTATGTATAGGGCTAATATAAATTAGTATAATTAATGTGATACTTTGTTTTCTATTATGTTTTCTTTAATTATATATTCCAGTTTTTTGTTGTTGTTTTTGACATAATGCCACTCAAATTTGCTATTTATGTATATTTCTATTTAGTTTACGCTGGTGCTTTTTTTTCTTTCTTCTCTCACGTCAAATAGGTGTTAGTATCCCATATGACTCAGGTACAATAATATCAAAAAGAAACCTACCTAAATCAGTCACGCGTATAGTCATGTAAATATGACTACACTTGTTATTAAAATATATGAAATAAATCATAATTATTTGTAACCAGTTGATTATAAAAATATAGTGTACTTATTTGACCTTTCATCTGGATACAATATTCTAAATATTTGCTAAACTATGAAGATAAATTGTACCTGTCGAAACAAGAAATGACCTTTTTTATAATATAATTTGAATGAAATGAATTAGAAGTGAGTTTCACAAGTGAGAGTCACTTAAAATGATTTGTAGATCAAACCGTTTTTATTTACAATAAGAAAATAACTAGTAATGATCACAAGCGAGTGAGGAAGCACTCACGGTAGTGACCATTATTTTGTATAAATGAAAAGCAGAATATAAGCAACAACAAAAGTGGAAAACTAAAAACGAAGAGAGAAAACGAACAGAAATATAAGAAACATCAGTTTCGCATGAATCGAAATCAGTATAAACTGTATGTTTGTATGAGGAGGCAAAGCACATCAGAGGTGGAGAGAAAGGATCAAAACTATTTTTTCTTTTAACTTTTGCTTAGGCAGGTAGAGTACCGTTTAAAATCGTCTTGTTTTATCAATAAAACAAACAACAGCATCATGAATTTCTTTTCATTTCATTCAGTCTTAAAGATTTTGCTAATAGCAAAGGATCTAATGTTACTGCATCTAAATGATTAATTGAATCAAATAGAGCTTTCCTGTCTGTGTTGTACCGCAACCGTGAATTATAGCTGCTAATAAATATACCGAAAAATCACTGCATTTCGTCCCGTGGTTGAGTATATTAATGCTGAACAACATTCATATGAAGAAATAGCTGGAATCGTATCAGATAAAGATGATTTAAACATGTTTAACATTGCGTTCATGGACAATCGGTATTCTATTTGCTATATTAACTAAAAAAACAGTTCAGAAGAGAAGACATCCGAAAATATTGTTTTTCGATGAGAAAATATCCGACGTAGATGGTCTCATGTCAAACTTTTTCACGATTGCTGCAGAAATGTGCGTTGTTCGGCACTT